CTGTGCCCATCACACCACAGCATGGCCCAGCAGTGCCCCTGCTGCAACCCCTGGTCCTGGTCTGGGAGTCAAGTGCAGGGGTTGCAGCAGGGGCACTGCTGGGCCATGCTGTGGTGTGATGGGCACAGGCACATTGTCTGGTGAGGGCTGGCCATAGCGGTACCAAGTGTGCCCCATGTCTGTCCCACAGGGCCTGGGGCAGGGCCTCTGGGAGGTTAACCAGGGCCAGGGGCAAGGAGAGATCTGCAGGGTCTGTCTGCAAGAAAGGTTAGAGCTGCCTCACTCCAGGTGCAAGGGAAGAGCCAGGCAGGGGAGTAAAGGCAGCTCTGGCACCAGCCATGCGTATCCCTGCTGCTGAGCAGCTTGAAAAACCTCCCCTCTGGGCCAAGTGGATGGAGCAGAAGGGTCAGAGCCCTGCCAGGACCCCTCACAGTGCAGTGGTCTGGGGAGGGCAGCAGTGCCATTCAGCACATTGAGGCTGCCCCGAGCCCCTGCTGTCCCTGCTCCTACTGCCTGGCATTCCATTGTCTGTGCCAGCCCCCTTCCACCTCTGCCCTGCCCGAGCCCCTGCTGTCCCTGCTCCTACTGCCTGGCATTCCATTGTCTGTGCCAGCCCCCTTCCACCTCTGCCCTGCCCTGCTGGAAGCCATAGCACAGCATGGCATGAGATAGCACCAGCCTGTTCCTTCTGCATGGAAACCAGCTGGGCCTGTCCCTGCTCTGGCTAAAACTGGAAAGCCCATGATGCCACACCCTGCATGGGGGAGCTGGCAGACCCCAGTGGGCTCTGGAGGTGCCGGGGTCTGCAGGCACTACAGGCAGGGCTGGGTCTGTGTGGTGATGGGCAGCGCTTTGGGACAGGTCTGTGTCATGCCTGCCATTGGACAAGGCTCAGTCCTGGGCAGTATGGCTGGCAGAAGGCAGCTTCCTATGGTGGGGTGATGTCCCACCAAAGGATACTCCTTGACACATGCAGACAGCAGGTCCATGGCCTATGAGGCACACGGAGCCAAGAACTGAAAGTCCTTTGCCTGGGCTGGGTTGATGTAGCTAGAGGAGACAATCCTGGGGCAACACTACAGGATGTGGATGGCAGGGAGAGCTGATCCCCCCGGCTGCTCTCAGCCCCTCACTGCAGCATAGGAGAGCAAACTTCATCTCCTGGCAGGCACAGTATTGCCATGGCAACCGGCAGGACCTGCCAGGCCGGCAGGCGAGCACTGACGTGGCGGTGGCATGCAGCACGGGAAGGAGATGGGATGCATGGTCTAATTTTGGGGACATCTGAGGACAGGCTTAGGTGTGTGAGCACACTGCATGTGCACCTGGGTGTGTGCCTGGGGTGCATGGGGTGTGCAGGCAGATGTGGGCGTCTGAGTGCACGAGTGCCTGTGCCAATGTGCATGCGTGTGTTGGGGTGCATGGCAGACTTCACACATCATTCTGTGGCACCGTCGAGGCAGGGTGTATCTCACTGCTCTGGAGGGCTGGCAGGGTTTCCCCAAAAGCTGTGGGATCCATAGCTTTGTGTCTGTGGGAAAGATGAGCTCGGCAGCTGGGACCCCTGACTGCACTTGTCCTTTGGCCCCTCGGTCACAAACCCTGCCTCCAGAGAAAGGGGGCTGCTGACCAACCACCCCAAGGCCCTGTCTCTACTCTTCCCAAAGTCTGGGCTAGTGCTCAGAGCAGGGAGCAGGAGACTCGCAGAGTCAGCCACCAGTGCTGCAGGCAGCTGTTTATGCTGTGTTAGCTGTGTGTTAGCTGTGTGTTAGCTGTGTGTTAGCTGTGTGTTAGCTGTGTTAGCTGTGTTAGCTGTGTTAGCTGTGTTAGCTGTGTTAGCTGTGTTAGCTGTGTGTTAGCTGTGTGTTAGCTGTGTTAGCTGTGTTAGCTGTGTGTTAGCTGTGTGTTAGCTGTGTTAGCTGTGTGTTAGCTGTGTTAGCTGTGTTAGCTGTGTGTTAGCTGTGTGTTAGGTGTGTGTTAGCTGTGTTAGCTGTGTTAGCTGTGTGTTAGGTGTGTGTTAGCTGTGTTAGCTGTGTGTTAGCTGTGTGTTAGCTGTGTGTTAGCTGTGTGTTAGCTGTGTTAGCTGTGTGTTAGCTGTGTTAGCTGTGTGTTAGCTGTGTGTTAGCTGTGTTAGCTGTGTGTTAGCTGTGTGTTAGCTGTGTTAGCTGTGTGTTAGCTGTGTTAGCTGTGTTAGCTGTGTGTGAGCTGTGTTTGCTGCCAGAGCAGATGTTCCGGCAGGGCCCCGCACTGTCTCCAGCTCGGCCCAGGTGCTGAGGGAAGGGCTGGCTGCTCTCCTGCCTGCTCGGGGCTCTGTGCCCAGCTACGGCATCCCTTGCCCCGCTACAGCCCCAGCTGAGAGCCCCCCTTCTTCGCCTCTCGGGAGAGCCTCTGTTCCCCCACCCGTTTGGCATTTCTCCGGCTCTAATTGAGCTGTCAATGGGCAGCGATAACAGGGAATTCGTTTGCTCCGCTCTTTGATGTCTGCCCGCCCTCCCATCGCAGCACCAGCTGCAAGTCCTTCGCAAACAAACAGCTTCAGATGAAGCCCCTTGGCACGGCCGTCTGCCAGCCCCACGGTCGACTCCCCAAATCCCTGCCGGGCCAGCCCCACGGCCGCTCAGACCGTCTGCTGCCTCGGCAGCCAGGTTTCCCCGCCAGGGACCTACAGCCGCATCCCAAAGATCTCCGTGTCCGGCACTCGCCGGGACGCCCAGCAGCGGTCTTCCCTCGCAGCCCCTCTCCGGGGCCGCGTCCTGCGGG